TGCGATGAAATCCAATATAATCAATTGGGAAAATCGCAGCGGACCTTGATTCGGCATATATATGGATCAAGAGCGTTCAACGACTAATGAGTGAGTTATGCCAACAATAAGCTCGACACGAGAACCCCACAACCAAAATTATATATTGGTTGAAGAAATAGTCTAAACATCAATGTAAATTGATGAGAACGAGACTTAAACGTCTTGTTATAAATAAAATCGTCATCTGGGGTGGTTCAAGTGTAGGTAATCCTACATTACAACGTTTCTTTGCATTACATTATTTATTACCTTTTGTATTAGCTGCTTTAGTTATTATGCATTTAATAGCTTTACATGAACATGGTTCATCTAATCCTTTAGGTATTACAGGTAATATAGATCGTTTACCATTTAGTCCTTATTTTGTATTTAAAGATTTAGTTACTGTATTTGTTTTCTTAACAGTTTATAGTAGTTTTGTATTCTTTAGTCCTAATAGTTTAGGTCAAAAGGCCCTTATTAAAAAAGTTTTAATCCTTAATTTAATATCGCAATGTGCTAAATGCTGGAAATATTGAGGAAATATCCTTAATTATAATAAAACTAAATTTATAAATGATTTATATTTAATAATGACATGTAATATTTACTATAAATATAATACTAACATATTACTAATTAAATATTATGCGAATCCCAATTTAGTAAGATATTATTATAAATGATACAATCAGCAGATAACGAAAATAATGAGCCGTGCAGCGGCACAATTATTATTAGATATTTCAGAGACTACACGCACACAAAAAATAATAATATGATTAATAGAAATCAAAGAAAAATATCCCTTATCGGGGACCCGTGAAATAAAAAAATTATTAAGAGATTTTAATTTAAATAATCTTGATAATGAAAAATATAATTTTTATAATAAATCAAATAATTTAATTGATGATAATAATTATAAAATATCAAATACAGATCAAAAATTTAATCAATGATTAGCAGGTTTAATTGATGGTGATGGATGTTTATTAGTATCTAAACAAGGTTATACATCTTGTGAAATAACAGTAGGTTTAGAAGATGAAAAAATGTTACGTATAATTCAAAATAAATTAGGTGGTAATATTAAACCTAGATCAGGTGTAAAAGCTTTAAGATATAGATTACAAAATAAAGAAGGTATGATTAATTTAATTAATAGAATTAATGGTAATATACGTAATTCTAAAAGATTACCTCAATTACACAAAGTTTGTACTGTATTAAATATAGATATTATAAATCCAATACCATTAACAATTAATAATGCTTGATTTTCTGGTTTTTTTGATGCTGATGGTACAATAAATTATTATTATAGAGATATCAATAATAAATCTAAAATAAGACCACAATTAACAATAAGTGTTACAAATAAATATTTAATAGATGTTGAAGAATATAAAAATATTTTTGGTGGTAATATTTATTATGATAAAGCTCAAAATGGATATTATAAATGATGTATTAATAATGAAGAATTTCATACTATATATTATAATTATAATAAAAATAATCCATCTAAATCATTTAAAGGTAATCGTTTATTTTTAATTAAAGAATTTTATAGTTTATATAATATAAAAGCTTTTAGAAAAGCTGATGATTCTTTAATATTTAAATCATGATTATTATTTGATAAAAAATGAAATAAATATAAAAAATTTGGAAGTTAATTTAAATTAGCACCGTTAACGCGGTTTATTCTAAAAATGGGTTATGTAATTTCTTAATCATTTGATTATTATATGAAGATATAGTCCAATAATAAATTATAATAAATGTTATTATAATTATTAAGCATCCTGATAACTATATACCAGCTAATCCTATGGTAACACCAGCTTCAATTGTACCAGAATTCTATTTATTACCATTCTATGCAATATTAAGAGCTATACCATCTAAATTAGGTGGAGTAGTAGCTATGGTAGCAGCAATATTAATATTAATGATATTACCAATAAGTGATAGAAGTATAGTAAGAGGTAATGCATTTAAAGTATTATCTAAAATATTATATGGATTATTTATATGTAATTTCTTATTATTAGGTTTATTAGGATCACAACATATTGAAGTACCTTATGTAGCATTAGGACAATTTGCTACATTATTCTATTTCTCATATTTTATAATATTATTACCAAGTATAACAATGTTAGAAAATATATTATTCTATATAAGTCAACAAAATAAATAATTAAGATCGTTAGGATAATAAAGGGCTATGCCCTCATTAATAGTTTAATATCAAGGGCTGTGTCCTCATTAATAGGTTTCATTACCCCTTAAACCTATAAGGGTAGGGATTAGAGAAATCGACCCCTAACCCCTTAACCCCTAAAGGGGTACGCTAAGAATATTAGCGATGCTATTCTAATTAATTGAGGATTAATTTCTGTAATCACATAGTACTTTGTACTTAATATAGTGGATATAGTAAAATAATATCCAATAAAGGGTATAACCCTCAATAATAAATAAATAAATGTTAATATTTGGTATAATAATAATTATATTAAGTTCATTTAATTTAAAAACAATAAAAGAAGTTAAAGAAATATATCGTATTAGTATAATATTATTATTACAAATAATAGTAATATTATATGATAGTATTGAATTAGATTTTATTAATAAAGGTATATCAATATATAATGATATATTAATAATAACATCATATACTAAAATAATTGAATTAATAATATTAATAATAAAATATTATATATATATGTTATTAAAGAATATATAATATCAACAAATAATGTATCAAAAGGTGTAGCTCTTCAATCAGGTTTACATAAATTATTAATAGTATTATTAATAAATATATTAGGTGTAATATTATTTATACAATGAAATAATAGTATAGTAATATTTATAACATTAGAATTACAAAGTTATACAATATATATAATATGTACATTATTTACTAAATCATATAATAGTACTAAATCAGGATTATTATATTTCTTATTAGGTAGTGTAGGTTCTATAGTAGTATTATTTGGATTAACATTATTATATAGTGAAATAGGTTTATTAAATATGAATGATATATCAAATATATATAATAATGGATCATTAGCATATTTATCATATGGTTCAAGTTATAATAATATAATATTAGGTTATATATTTATAATAATTGGATTATTATTTAAAATTGGTACATGACCATTCCATAATTGATTAATTAATATATATGCTAATACACCAACTATAATAACAATATGAATAAGTTTAATAACTAAAATAAGTATATTAACTGTATTATATACAATAATATCAAATTCATCTAATGCATTATTAGGTTATGTTAGTCAAACATTTAATAATGGTGATGGTTCATTAGAAATTATTAATAGTATACCATTAATATTAGGTTTAATATCATTATTCTCAATAATATTTGGTGCATTTGGTGGATTAGGTCAATTTACAATTAAACGTATTATAGGTTATAGTGGTTTAGTTAATTCAGGTTATTTTATATTTATTATATTAAGTAATAATAATAGTACATTATCAACATATATATTTAATATATATCAATATAGTTTAACACATATAGTTTGATTTATGTTAATATTAGTTAATGGTTTATATTATAGTAATAATAAAATATTAAATAAATTATATAATAAAAGTGGTTCAAATAAATGAATAAAAACAACAATGAATTTATCATATGTTAAAGATTTATATGGATATTTATTTATTAATCCTTATGTAGGATTCTGTTATATTATTGTATTATCATCATTAATAGGTATACCTCCATTAACTGGATTTTATGCTAAATATTATATATTATTAACTGGTATTAATAGTTCATATTTATTCTTATCAATAATAGTATTATTAAGTAGTTCATTAACAGCATATTATTATTTATTTATAATTAAAAATTTAATTATAACTGATAATCATGGATCTGATGTTAATTCAATTATTAATATATGAAAATCAGTAAAATTAACATCTAATAATACATCATCAGGTGTAGCTCATGTTGCACAAATAACACCAATGTTATCTATATTAATTAGTACAATTATTATAATAATTATTGGTATTACAATAGGTTTAGATATAGCTAATAATGGTACACATATAGTTGAATCATATTATATAGACGGAGCTCAATATGTTTAATTTTAATAATACATTATATATATTTATATTATTAATACCAGTTGTTAGTTTAGTATTATTAGTAGTTAATATTTTATTTTCTGAAACTAATTCATATTCTGATAAAACTGGACCATTTGAATGTGGTTTATCTAGTTTTACTCAAACTAGAATAGCTTTTACTGTATCATTTATATTAATTGCTATATTATTCTTACCATTTGATTTAGAAGTTACTAGTTTATTACCATATAGTTTAGCTTTATATCATTCTAATTCTTATGGTTTAACTATTATTATATTATTCTTAGTTTTATTAACTATAGGTTTCATATTTGAAATTAATAATAATGCTTTATATATTGTTAAAAATAATATATCAGTACATCGTAAAGCTAATCGTGTATTAAATGCTTAAATCGTAAGAGTCGCAAAGTATTTTTAAGCCACTATCCTAATATCCTATTGGATTAAGGAGTGAGGTGTGCGGCGCAATCGGCATAAAATTAAATTATTAACGATTTATTACGTAACAAATTAACTATTCCAATACCCGCATACCCTACCCTTATAGGGGTTAAGATTAGGGATAACATTCCACTACAATCAACACGCGCCTAAGTACAAAGTACTAAAGCGGCTCAAGAGGTATTGGTTAAGGACAATAAATGAAGGGTAAGGCGGTGTTCAACATACTACATCGACAATATCGAGGACCCTAAGTTAAGCTATAGGGGATGTTTTTACATACGCTATATCAAAGGTTCCTAAGTACTTTATACTACTATAAGTAATAAATATTAACTAAAACGTGGATATCATTTGTCCTTAATGTTCTTATAGTTTAGAGGTAAAACATGGCACTGTTAATGCTTAGTCATTGGTTCAATTCCAATTAAGAACGAAGCAAAGCTAAATAATAAGGGCATCACCCTATATCTAAAATTCATTGCGTAGCAAATTGAATAATATAATAAACCAAAAAAAGGTAAGATATAAAACAAATCAAATGTTAAATCAAATAATAGAATTAATAAATACACATAATCAATATAATAATAATTTAATAATATTATTAGAATATTTAAGTGTTATATCAGCATTAAGTGTAATATTTAGTAGTAATGCAATAGTATCAATAATATATTTAATATCATTATATATAAATGTAAGTATATATTTATATTTTACAGGATTAGGAGTTATGGGATTATTATATATATTAGTATATGTAGGTGCTATAGCAATATTATTCTTATTTATATTATCATTAATAAATTTAAAAATATCAGAATTATCAGTAACATCTAATAAACAAGATATAATATTTATATTAATAATAGTAATAACTTCACTTTATGTAAGTAATTATGTTTCATTATTAGATAATATTAATGGTATAGAAGAGACAATGTCTCTTTATAATAATTCAATTAATAAATCAATAGAAATATATAATGTATTAAATATTAATTGAAATGATTTATCATCATATTCAGAATTAAAAATTATTGGTGAATTATTATATACACAATATTCAATAACAATGTTAATAATAGGTTTAATATTATTATTAGCTATTATAGGTGTAATAATTATAACTAAATAATAATAATGCAATATTAAATAATAATTAGTGGATAAAGCATTTATAATCGGGGCTGCGCCCTGTTCCACATAGTACAAAATAGTGGTTAACCCTTGACCCCTAACCACTAGGGGTAGGGGTTTTCCTTAATAATAATAAATCGTATATAATTAGGGATGTAAAAATAGCCCGTAATTAAAATTATAATTATAACGTAATTAAATTAATAATAAGAAATTATTAATAGGATAATATCCGGATTAAAGATTAAACCCATTTAAAGGTAAAAATTGAAAAGGGTATATAATCGATTAATCAATAAATATAAAAATAAAATGATATTAGATATAATTGAAATATTAATCTTTTTAGTTTGTGTATTATTTAGTGTTGCTTATTTAACAGTAGGTGAAAGAAAAACATTAGGTTATTTTCAAAGAAGATTAGGTCCAAATGCCGTAGGTCAATATATATTTGCATAATTGAGGGCATAACCTTATATTAATCAAATGAAAAAGAATTAAGACTCTTTTTTCGGCCTAAGTGGAAGTGAACCTTCTGCTATAAACCGTCAAATTGCGGGGAATCCTTAAAGCTATTTCAACTAAACAAGAATGGTAACATATTTTGTGGCACAGGTAATGACTCGTGGTATAGTAAAATCGAAATAGATGTACGAAAGGAAATAGGTTATCCGCAGCCAAGCTTCATAAGGGGTTTCGCGCCCTGACCCCTAAAGGGGTATGGGGCTTACTGACCAATTATGGAGTGCAGTTCATCGATTATATGGTGGTTGGTATCGCTGCACACCCTAATACCTAAGGGTATGGGTAGCAGCTTGCTTAAGATATAATCAAGCCCTACTTGAAAGAGTACAGGATAATGTAAATTATCTGTTAAATGGATAGTTTCAGTGGATCTGGATTAACATGATAGCCAAATTAATTTTACTATCGCGCCTAAGTATAAAGTACTAAAGCGGCTTAATTAATATAACTATTTAGGGAGAAATCTTCAAACTTTGTCTGTATTAAGGGATTAATCTCATAAATGACTAAATGAAGAATATCTGTATTACGGATTATTACAGGCATTTGCAGATGCAGTAAAATTATTAATAAAAGAAATAATATTACCAAAAGAAGCTAATAAATATATATTAATATTAAGTCCAACTATAACATTAATAACAGCTTTAATAGGATGAGTTATAATACCATTAGGACCAGGTATAACATTAGGTGATTTAGAAAATGGTATATTATTTGGATTAGCTATAGGTAGTTTAGGTGTATTTGGTGTATTATTATCAGGTTGAAGTTCTAATAGTAAATATTCATTCTTAGGATCTATAAGATCAACATGTCAATTAATAAGTTATGAATTAGTATTAACTACTATATATATAATATGTATAATGTTTGTTAGTACATTAAATATGACAATATATATTGAAACACAACGTATAATATGATTAGTTATACCATTATTACCATTATTTATAATATTCTTTATAAGTACTGTAGCTGAAACTAATAGACCACCATTTGATTTAGTTGAAGCTGAAAGTGAATTAGTTGCAGGTTTCTTTACAGAATATTCTGCTAGTCCATTTGTTTTCTTTTTCTTAGGTGAATATAGTAATTTAATGTTAATGTGTGCTAGTTCAACTATATTATTTTTAGGTGGTTATTTAAATTTTGATATAGTTAATTATTTATTTGAAGATATCATATTATTTAATTTTAATAATATTGGTTTATGTTCACAATATTCATTTATATATAATTTTATAGAAGGTTCATTATATGGATTAGCTTGAGTTATTAAAGTTATATTATTAATGTTTACATTTATATGAATTAGAGCTTCATTCCCTAGATTTACATATGATAATTTAATTAATTTATGTTGATTAATATTCTTACCTTTATTATTTGCATGAGTTATATTTATACCTTGTATATTATATACATTTAATGCTTTCTCATTCATTTAAGCCGCTACCCAATACCTCACCCTCACCTGATTACCCCTGTACCCCTAAAGGGGTTAAGGGGTATAGGAGTTAAGGGGTTAGGGTATGATTGCGCCCTATTAACTATTCCTCTATACCCCTACCCCCCCCAATATTGGGGGGGGTCAAGGGGTTAGGAGCGTTTCATCCTTATAAGTAATATAAGAATGTAGTTTAATTGGTAAAACTTTAGGCTTCAATCCTAACATTAATGGTTCAAGTCCTTTCATTCTTGATTAATATAATGTAAAGTCTAATGAGTATAACGGGCTTTGCCCATAAATTTAAGGTACTATATAGAAATAAAAAGTGGGTTATATCGGCCTAAGTACAAAGTACTAAGGCGGCTTATTTACGGGAGATAAACCTTCCTCATGCTTAGCTATTTTAGCTAGCGATCTGCTCTATGAAAAATAATTTAATAATGAATAATGTTCTTAAATCCTTAAATAAATAACTTGTGCTATAAATTTTATCTAGGAATATCGCTTCATTAGTGAAATAATTATACTAAAATTAGCTTATTATATTAATATAATTGATTGTGGCGAAATTGGTAAACGCAATAAGTTTAGGCCTTATTTGTTATAGGTTCAATTCCTATCAATCAAATTAGCATTCTTAATTTAATGGTAAAATAGTAATTTACGGAATTATTAATATAGGTTCAATTCCTATAGAATGTGTAATAATTAAGTCTTAATGGATTCGAACCAATAACTTTTGACTTATCAAGTCAACACTCTAACCATTGAGTTAAAGACTTTAATAATCTTACTTATAAGGATCACATCTGCGTATATAATCCGTTAATTATATAAGTAATAATTAAGAGGAGTGTTTATTGGTTAAACAATTGGATTGCAAATCTAATATTGTAGGTTCAAACCCTATCTCTTCTTAGTGCGTAATCAAGTAACGCTATCCTAAGTACAAATTACTATGTGACTAAATATGAGGAAAACCTTCCTTATCGGTCAATGATATCATTGTTTTAGTGCTTTAGCAAGTGAAAAAAAAATAATAAAATCATCAGCCGCTATACCCCCTTAACCCCTATAGGGATAAGGGGTTAGGCACGAATAGGCGAAGTCCTAAATAATAAATGGATAATATCCATAATCGGAGATAATAATCTCAAATAATAAATAGATTATCACGTGATAAGTAATAATCTTAGACAATATATTAATAGATGATTATTCTCTACTAATTGTAAAGATATAGCAATATTATATATGATATTTGCAATCTTTTCAGGTTTAGTAGGAACAGGTTTAAGTATAATCATTAGATTAGAATTAGCAGGTCCTACACCTCAAATATTAGAAGGAAATGGTCAAGTATTTAATGTAGTAATCTCAGCTCATGCGATATTTATGATATTCTTCTTAGTAATGCCAATGAGTGTTGGTTTTTTTGGGAACTATTTAGTACCATTAATGTTAGGTTGTGCTGATATGAGTTTAGCAAGATTAAATAATATATCATTCTGATTATTAGTACCATCATTATTATTAGCATTATCATCAACATTAATTGAAAGTGGAGCAGGTACAGGGTGAACAGTATATCCACCATTATCAAGTATACAATCACATTCAGGACCATCAGTTGATTTAGTAATATTCTCATTACATATATCAGGTATATCATCATTATTAGGTGCTATAAACTTTATAGTTACAGTAATGAATATGAGAACTAATGGTATAACATATTCAAAATTAACATTATTTAGTTGATCAATAGTAATAACAGCTGTATTATTATTATTATCATTACCAGTATTAGCTTCTGGATTAACAATGTTATTATTAGATAGAAATATTAATACTAGTTTCTTTGAAGTAGCTGCTGGTGGTGATCCAGTATTATATCAACATCTTTTCTATAAAGAAAATTATTTATTAATTATGCTAAAAAATAAATAATCATGGAAAACAGGATATGGTTTAATTCAAATTATGAAAGAATATTAAACAGATGAAAAACAAAAGTAAGATTTAATATTCTAAATAAGGGAAGGCCCTTATACCATAATTCTAGTCTTTATAATAATAATTATTGGCCGCTTTTACATCAGCGGCGCTAAACTCTTAATAGGATATAAATAATTAATAAAGGCAACATTGGTGGTACGGTCAAAATTCCCCAAAATAAGACCGTCAATTAATTAAGTAATTGCTACAGACTGCTTCACCAATGGGTGTCTCGCCGCTAAGTACTTTGTACTAAAGCGGTTAGATGCTTAATGTACAGTCGGTTTCTCAAATAATATAATTATTTGGTTGAGGGT